AGCAAGTCCTTATTTGACCAAAGAGGCCTGGACACACCACCGCTGGCCTGCCTCCCGGGGTCACTGCCCCAGGCACGCAAAGATGAAAGGCTGGTATGTCGTGGTAGTAAGTCGTAAAAAAAAGGAAAGACAAACCCTCCCCAAATGAAAGCCATGCACGGCGTTTATTTTTGGTATTTTATGGGGTGCTTTTGAGGATGGGCGATGGAGAGGGGGAGTTCCACGGGGACAATAAGCAGATTTCACCCTTGGGGCAGGAGGAAGGAGAGAGGAGGAACGGGCCCTCTGGTCTAGTGCTGACCTCTGGGTCCCGCCTGATTCCAGAGGAGCCGGAGTGGCGGCCGCAGCCCAGAGCTGGTCACAGGCGGGATTTCAGATGCTAGCAGAGGGTCCCTCTGGCTCTCACACGCTCCACCCCCACACCGAGCCCCTTCTCCAGTGCTTTCTAGCTAACCTTAGAAGACAGGCAGGATGAACATGATCCCCATTTTACAGATAAGCAAGCTGAGGCCCAGGCATGAAAGGGTTGACTTAAGGCTACATGCTAACTTAGCAGCCAGGCAAGGACTAGAACTTGGGGCGTCTGCCCCTACAGTTCAGGCTGGCTCGCTCTACCTAGCTGTCTCCAGCCATGGGAGAAGGACCCCAGGGGTCTCCGACCTCCTGCTTTGATAGCAGAGGGCACCATATCAGTCGGTTTTCTCCAGCCACACCAGGCCCTGCCCTCCTGGACTTCCTGCTTGCCTACCTTATTGTGAGCTGCTGCTTCTGTGTTTGAAGAGGAGGGCAGACCATGCGTGTGGAGTTCCAGCCGTGAAACCACATGGCCCGGCTGTTCAGTGCGCGGGCGGGCCCCGGAAACAAGGGAGGCCTTCATATGCCAGATTGCCTCCTCATCATCCAGCCACAGTCCAGAGGATCGCCAGCAGCCTACTCTCTCCCCATACTCACAAGAGCCAGGGAAATCCCAGAGGGCTTCCTGCAGGCAGGGCCCGGCTGTGGGCGGGAACCTGCCTCTTGTCCTCTTGAGTAATGGGCGCCTGAAGCCACAACAGAGACTGGGAGGAGCCAAGGGCTAGAAAGGCCATGGGTGCTGCTAGATGCCAGCCCAAGGGAGGGATGGGTGGTGGGAGCGTGAAGGGGAGAGAGCCCAGCCCTCAGGGAGCATGCTCGTTGTATCACGGAAAATGCCGTGGCCTTGAATGACCCCCACTTCCTGAGCACCCCTTAGAAACCCGGCTCTGAGCCCTTTATAAGCATCACAGAATTCTCATAGTGACATCATTGGCCCCATTTTATATAGAAGAAAACTCAGAGGGCTGGGAAGGGTCCACGGCCCACCTCGGGCACAGAGTGAGCCAATAGCAGATCTGGGACTTGAACCCACGTCTACCTGACCCCAGAGCCTGTGCTGTGACCCACAGGAATGGCTCTGAGTGGTAGGAGCCTCCCAGGGCCCTCCCCATTGGCCAAGGTTGGGGGAGAGGTTGCTGACCTGGCCCAAAGAGGCGTCCCAGGTTTGTGGCCTTGTGCCGCCCCAGCCGGGCCCCACAGGAGGCATGATGGCAAATGCTCTGGCCCTGAGCAGGGACCACCATTTTGCAAGGGAGTTGGGTGTAAATCAGCCGATCCTGATCTAGATTCATCTCTGACATCACACGGCTCCGCTGGAGCCCTTCCTGCCCTCTCCTGTGAATTGCATTTAATTAAACACTCACCACCACCCTGGCAGGGATGTACATGCTCCCCAGTTAGCCGTGTGCCTCTCTGTTTCCCAGCATCCTTTGTGATTAGCCCAGGCCACATGACTAGTTCTGGCTGATAGGATGTGAGCAGAGGTGACCCGCATCACTTCCCAACTGAAGTGGTTACCCGGCCATGAGCTCTCTCCGTCTGTCTCTCCTGCTGCAGCAGTCTTGGAGGGACACGCTTTCCAGATAATAAAACTACAAGAGGAGGAAGGCCTCCATGTCAGACTTTGGGGGGGCAAAACTTAAACTTGGTGTTGGGTTAAGCAGCTGAGCTTTGAGGCTTTCTCTAATGTTGATTACCTGAATATTATTACTCTGAGTAATACAATCCTGGGAAATAAGAATTATGGTCTCCATCCTGCAGATGAGCACGCTGGGGTCCAGAGAAAGCTGAAATCTTGAGTTACAGAGCCACTTCAGCTCACGGTGCCCGACTCCAGCCCCTGTGAGGTTTCCCCTGCCCCTTGCATTCTTGGCCTGCTGCAAATAGCCTCAGAGACACAGGCCCAGGAGGGGAGAGAAAGGAGCGGCTACAGCCTGCTTATAAAAAGTTGCGTGTTGTTAAAACCTCTTCAGACTCATGCAAACCATGCTATGCAGGGCGGCTGCTGTTTAGAAGAGCACAAAGGAGGACTAAAATGGGACAGACTTCTGGGTCCCCCAGGACGGTGGCGGGATGTGCGAGGGGCCTAAGGGCAGCATGTGGGGCCAGCTGTCAGACGCTCCACCTGCAGTGTAATGGATGGCAGGTAGGGGCTGCCAGGGTGACAGAGAGGAAGGCGGAGATAGGGCCTGATTTACAGGCGCCAGGGAAGAAAATGCAGCCAAGATTTATGGGGGCTCAAGTGACTCGTTGGAGCCAAGTTTATTACCCATCATGTGCATCTGAATGTGTATTTATGGCTTTCCAGATGATCCTGTCTCGTTGCAAATTATGTCCAAAGAACATGAACAGCAGTTCTTCTGCTTTGAGAAGGGCTGGTCCAGAGTGGAGTTCAAGACGGCTCTCCTAGCTGTGCAGGGAGGCCTGGGGCTGGTCTCATTTGTGTGTGCACAGGTTCGAGAAGGGGACGCAGGCCAGTGGACACTCTGGCCAGGCCCTGCACTGGAGCAGCATGCAGAGAGGCACCCATCTCACGGGGCCTTGCCTGCACCCCACTGTGCCAGGCACTGAGCCGGGTGCGGATCTCACAGGCACACTAGGAGGCAGCCCAGAGGGAGGGTGAGAATACTAACTCTGTTGCTGAACTGCTGAGTAACTCTGGGCAAGTTGCTTGCCCTCTCTGAGCCTCAGTTTCCTCATCAAAAAAAATGAAAGTAACAATGATGAGTACTCCAGAGAGTAATTAGGAGACATTCAAGATACTGCATGTAAAGTGCTTAGCACAGCTCCTGGCATTCAGTAAGTGCTCATAAATGTTTTTTTCTGTTATCCTCGTGATTATTACTCTAAGCATCATACATGTTTGGCACAACCTGACCATCAAATCAAACAAAACGACAAATTTCTGGCTGAAGCCCATTTGGTAAAAGAATGACCACTTACCTGCTTTGCACACACTGGATTCCAGGGAGGCAGGCCCAGCCAGTCAGATAACCACCTAAAAGGGGCTTTTATCTTGGAACTTTGTGAATACATGGAAGAACTGGTTGTGAATGACTTAACCTGCTCAGGTCTCAGACCTGTAGATACTTAACAAAGCCCTGAACTTTGACATAATTGGAAACAAGAGCTGACATTCCGCCAGTACGTGCTAGTATGACCATCCCTTCCAGATGTGTCGGTAAATAGCAGCCACCCTCAACAGTGGAAGTGCCTCTCCTGCTGCCCCGGCCATCCTCGCCCCTCAACCAGGACCTCCTGATTAAGGGATGTCTTAATTTGGATTGTCCCCAAAGCAGAACCGAAGACAAGGTCTTAGGAGTTGGGAGTTTATTTGGGAGATATCTTAGGAAATAAGTGAAGGAGTAAGGGGTGTGTTAAGGAGAAAGATGAAAAGCCAGTGTCAGGATGTGTTATTGTGGTCACTGCTCTCAGAAATGGGGGCTTGGTTCTGTAGGGACCCTTAAGAAGATTACAGAATTCCAGAATTGTCCTTCTGGAAGAATGAGGATCATGCACTTTTCCACTGTCTCCTGTGCCCCAGTGGCTGAGAGTTTCCCTTGGGAGGATTGACTCTCCCACACTTCTGCGTAGTGCTTGCTCATAGACCGAGCAGGCCCTTGTTGTTGGAGAAGATCCTGAGCCAGAAGGGAAAGACACACGTCACATGCCTGACATGGGACTCTATCACTGTGCCTGAGTTCATCTATAACTGTCCACCCCAGCTGCTGATGAAATCAGAGGGAAGCTGAGGGAACGTGACATGGGGCACCAAAAAGCATCTGCTACAGTCCACCCCTTGCAACACTTGGGTCTGTTTGTGCCCACAGTAAGTCCACTGTGATACTGAGCCTTCAAGTGGTGTACAGACATAATCTGTAAGAAAATATGGGATTCTAGAAAGATGGTGGAGTAAGAAGCACCAGGAATCTATCTCTCCACCTAGACAACAATTGCATTGGCAAAATTTGTCTGATCTAACTATTTTGGAGCTATGGAATCTATTGAAGGCTTGCAACTTCCAGGGCAAGGCTTAGACAGTAAATTGCAGTTGATTTCAGCTCTTAGCACAGTAGCAGCTACCCACCCCTCACCCCCAGCCACATGGCAGGCAGCTGTGCACACGTTCCTGGAGCAGCTTGCACACAACTGGTGAGAGCCAGAGTGGCCAACTGTTGAGGATCTGTGTTGTCATTGCTGACTGCTGCTTCCGATCACAGACATGCAGGCAGAGAGGTGGGCGGCCGTTCTTGTTGCTCCTCGCATATTCTTGCAAGCCCCTCCTCCTCCAGCTGACGTGACTTCCAGGAAATTTAAGGAGCTGGCACTCCTTATGCCCTCTTCATTTTTTGCTTTTTTCCCCACTGGGGAGACAGACATTAAAGAATAAGACATTCAGAAACAACCACATGTACTGGGAAAATTAGAAAGTGACCATGCAGGCCCAGGGAAAGGCTCAGAAAAGACCAGAGAAGACTTTAAGTTTACACCTCAGGCTGATCCTCAGCACAGAGACAGCCTACAACAATTAAAAAAACAAACAAACAAACAATAACAGAAAACAGCAAACCCTGAAAAGAGGAAGAATATGATTTCCAGAGTTACCACATAATTAAATTCAAGTGTCCAATTTTCAACAACAACAAAAAAACACAAGGCCTACAAAGAAACAGGCAAGTATGGCTCATTCAAAGGAAAAAAATAATTCAACAGAAACTGTCCCTGTTAAAAGACCTCATGACAGATATACTAGACAAAGACTTTAAAACAACAGTCTTAAATATGCCAAAGAATTAAAAGAAGATGTGGAGAAAGTGAAGAAAAACGACTTGTGAGCAAAATGTAAATAATAGAGAGACAGAAAACCTAAAAAGAAACCAAAAAGGAATTCTGGAGCTGAAAAGTACCCTAACCAAAATAAAAATTCACTAGAGGGATTTAAAGGAGATTAGAGCAGGCAGAAAAAAGAATCAGTGAACTTGAAGACAGGAAAATAGAAACTAGCAAGGCTGAAGAACAGGAAGAAAAATGATTGAAGAAAAGTGAACAGAGCCTAAGAGACCTGTGGGACACCATCAAAAGGACCAACATACACATCATGGGAATGCCAGAAAGAGAGAGAGAGAAAGGGGCAGAGAGAATATTTGAAGAAATAATGGTTAAAAACTTCCCAAATTTGATGAAAGACATGAATATAAACATCCAAGAAGCTCAACGAATTCCAAGTAAGGTAAACTCAAAGAGCCCCACCCCAAGACACATTATAATCAAACTTTCAAAAGACAAAAACAAAAGGAGAATCTTGAAAGCAGCGAGAGAGAAATGAATCATCACACATAGGGATCTTCAGTAAGATTTTCAGCAGATTTCTCATCAAAAACTTTGGAGGCCAGAAGGCAGCAGGCCAATATATTCAAAGAGCCAAAAGAATAAAACCATCAACCAAGAATCCTGTGTCTGGCAAAACTGTCCTTCAAAAATGAGGGAGAAATGAAGACATTCCCAGATAAACAAAAGTTGAGAGTCTGTGACCACGAAGCCTACCCCACAAGAAATGCTCAAGGGAGTCCTGCAGGGTGAGATGAAAGGACGCCGGACAGTAACTTGAAGATGTGTGGAGAAATAAAGATCTCAGTAAAGGTGACTACACGGGCAATTATAAAAGCTAGTAGTGTTGTAACAATGGTTTGTCATTGTACTTTTTGTTTGTTTTCTACATGATTTAAGAGACTAATATATTTAAAGAAAAAACCCACCTATTAGTGTAAAGCTTATTGTTACTGTAACCTTGGTTTGTAACTCCAAATCTTGTTTTCTACATAATTCAGGAAACTGATGCTTTTAAAAGAATTACAAGTTTATGTTTTTGGCAACACAAGGTATAAAGATGTAGTTTTCTGATGTCAGCAGCTGAAAGGGGTGGGGACAGAGCTGTAAAGAAGAGTTTTTGTATGCTGTTGAAGTTAAGCTGGTATGAATTCAAATTAGAGTGTTATAACTTTAGGATGTTAAATGTAATCCCCATGGTAACAACAAAGAAAATAGCTATAGAATATACACAAAAGGAAATGAGAACAGAATTTAAACATTTCACACAAAAAATTAACTAAACACAAAAGAAGACAGTAATATAGGAATGAGGGACAAAAAAACTATAATGCATATAGAAAACAAATAGAAAAATGACAGAAGTTAAGTTCCTCCTTATCAGTAATTACTTTAAATTAAAATGGATTAAACTTTCCAGTCAAAAGACGGAGATTGGCAGAATGCATAGAAACATGTGATCCAACTATGCGCTGTCTGCAAGACACTCACTTTAGATCCAAAGACACAAATAGATTGAAAGTTAAAGGATGGGAAAAGGTATTCCATGCAAATAGTAACCAGAAGAGACCAGGAGTGGCTATACTAATATCAGACAAAATAGATTTTAAATCAAAAAAGTTTATGAGAGACAAAGAAGGACATTATATATCAATAAAAGGTTCAATACAGCAAGAAGATATAACAATTATAAACATTTATGCACCTAACGACAGACCAGCAAAATATATGAAGCAAAACTGACAGAATTGAAGGGAGAAATAGACAGTTCTACAATAATAGTTGGAGACTTCGATACTCCATCACAAGAATGGATAGAACACCCATTCAGAAGTTAGGTAACAAAACAGAGGACTTAGCACAATAAACCAACTGGATCTAATAGACATATATCTACCACCACCAACAGCATACACATTCTTCTCAAGTGCATATGAGATATTTTCCAGGATAGACTTTATGTTAGGCTGCAAATTAAGTCTCAACAGATTTTAAAAGATAGACATCATACAAAATATCTTCTCTAACCACAACAAGATGAAGTTAGAAATCACTAAGAGAAGGAAAACTGGAAAATTCACAAAATTGTGGAAATTATACAACATATTTTTAAGCAACCAATGGATGAAAGAAGAAATCACAAGGGAAATTAGAAAATACTTAGAGACAAATGAAAATAAAAACACAATACACTAAAACTTATAGGATGAAAAGAAAGTGATGCTAAGGGGGAAATTTATAGTTGTAAACACATTAAAAAACAAGAAAGATCTCAAATCAACAACCTGACTTTACAACTTAAGGAACTAGAAAAAGAACAAACTAAACTCACAGCTAGCAAAAGGAAGGAAATAATAAAGATTAGAGCAGAGATCGATGTAATAGAAAATAGAAAAACAATAGAGAAAATCAATGAAACCAAAAGTTGGTTCTTTGAAAAGATCAACTAAATTGAAAAACCTTCAGCTAGATAGACTAAGAAAAAAAGGGGGAAGATTCAAGTTACTAAAATCAGAAATGAAAGTTGGGACATTACTCCTGATTCTACAGAAATAAAAATGGTTGTAAGAGAGTACTATGAACAACTGTGTGCCAACAAATTAGATAACCTAGATAAAATGGAAAAATTCCTAGAAACAAAGTGTACCAAGACTAAATTACAAAGAAATAGAAAATCTGAATAAACCTATAACTAGTAATGAGACTGAATCAGTAATCAACAATCTCCCAACAAAGAAAAGCCCTGGACCTGATGGCTTCACTGGTGAATTCTACTAAACATTTAAAGAACTAATACCAATCCTTCTCAAACTTTTCCAAAAAGAGGAAAAAACACTTCCTAACTCACTCTATGAAGCCAGCATTACCCTGATATGAAAGTCAGACAGAGACACTAAAAGAAAAGAAAACTACATGTTGATATCTCTTATGAACATTGGAGCAAACATCCTTAACAAGATACTAGCCAACCAAATGTAGCAGCATATGAAAAGAACTATACACCATGACCAAGTGGGATTTATTCCTAGAATGCAAAGATGATTCAACACACGAAAATTGGTTAGTGTAATACACCACAGTAACAGAATGAAGGCAACAAAACCCACATGATCATCTCAACTGATGCAGGAGAAGCATTTGACAAAATTCAATACCTTTTCATGATAAAAATACTCAAATAACTAGGAATAGAAGAAATTACCTCAACATAATAAAAGTTATATATGAAAAACCCACAGCAAACATCATACTCAATGGTGAAAGGCTAAAAGTGTTCTTTTCTAAGATCAGGAACAGGGCAAGGATGCCGGCTTTCACCACTTCTGTTCAACATGGTACTAGAAGTTCTAGCCAGAGCAATTAGGCAAGAAAAAGAAATAAAAGGTATCTAAATTGGAAAGGAAGAAGTAAAATTATCTCTGTTTGCAGATATGGTCTTACACGTAGAAAACCCCAAAGATTCCACACACACAAAAAAACCCTGTTAGAACTAATAAATGAATTCAACAAGGTAGCAGAATACAAAGTCAACACACAAAAATCAGTTGTGTTTCTATACACTAACAATGAACAATCTTGAAATTACAAACACAATTCCGTTTACAATAACATCAAGAAGAATAAAATACTTAAAAATTAACTTAACCCAGGAGGTAAAATACTTGTACAATGAAAACTTCAAAACATTGCTGAAAGAAATTAAAGAGGATGTAAATGATGGAAACACATCTAATGTTCATGAATTTGAAGACTTAATATTGTTAAAATGTCGATAGTACCCAAAGTGATCTACAAATTCAATGCAATCTCTATAAAAGTCCCAGTGACTTTTTTTGCAGAAATAGAAAAACCCATCCCCAAATCCATATGGAGTCTTAAGGGACTGAAATAGCCAAAACAGTCTTGAAAAAGAAAAAACTGGAGGACTCACACTTCCTGATTTCCAGACTTACTACAAAGCTACAGTAATCAAAACAGTGTGATCCTGGAATAAAGACAGATGTATAGACCAATGGCATATAATAGAGAGTCCAGAAATAAACCCTTGCAAATATGGTTGAATGATTTTTGACAAGAGTGTTATTGCCATTCAAGGTGGGAAAGGACAGTCTGTTCAACAAATGGTGCTGGGAAAACTGGACATCCACACAGAAAAGAATGGAGTTGGGCACTTGCCTAACACCATACGCAGAAATTAACTCAGAATGAATCAAAGGCCTAAATGTAAGACCTAAAATAATAAAACTCTTAGAAGAAAACATAGGACAAAGTTTCAATACGTTGGATTGGGCCATGATTTCTTGGATATGACACCAAAGGCACAGGTAACAAAAGAAAAAATAGACAAATTTGAATTTATGAAAATTTAAAAACTTTATGCATCAAAAGACATTATTAACAGAGTAATAAGGCAACCCATAGAATGGGAGAAAATATTTGCAAATCGTATATCTGATAAGGGATTAATATCTAAAATTTATAGAGAACTCCTAAAACTCAACCACAGAAGAACAAACAACCTCATTAAAAAATGAGCAAAGGACTTGAACAGACATTTCTCCAAAGATATATGAATGGCCAATAAGCACATAAAAAGATGCTCAACATCGCAAATCAAAACTACAGTGAGATACCACTTCACACCCAGGAGGATGGCTATAAAAAAACTACTGTTAAAAAAACTATTTACACAGCAATAAAAATATAATGACGTATACCTGAAATTTATGTAATGTTATAAACCAATGTTACTGCAATAAAAAAGAAAAGAAAAAAAAACTATTAAAAAAAAAACACCCAGAAAGTACTGTTTCCACTATAAAAGAAAAAAAAAAACACAGAAAACAACAAGTGTTGATGAGGATGTGGCGAAATTGGAACTCTTGTGCACTGATGGTGGGAATGTAAAATGGTACAGCTGCTTTGGAAAATAGTATTGTGGTTCCTTAAAAAATTAAAAATAGGACCAGCCCCAGTGGCCTAGTGGTTAAGTTCAGCATGCTTCACTTCAGCAGCCTGGGTTTGGTTCCAGGCACGGACCTACACCACTTGTCTGTCAGAGGCCATGCTGTGGCAGTGGCTCACATACAAAGAGAGGAAGATTGGCAGTGGATGTTAGCTCAGGGCAAATCTTCCTCAGGAAAAAAAAATTAAAAATAGGATTACCATATGATCCAGTAATTCCACTTCTGGATATATACCCAAAAGAATTGAAAGCAGAGTCTTGAAGAGATATTTACACACCCATGTTCATAGCAGTATTATTCGCAATAGCTGAAATGTGAAAGCAACCCAAGTGCCCATCAACCAATGAATGGATAAGCAAAATGTGGTATATATGTACAGTAGAATATTTTTCAGCCTTAAAGAAGGAGATTCTGTAATATGCTACAACACGGATGAACCTTGAGGACACTATGCTGAGTGAAATAAGCCAGTCACAAAAAGACAAATACTGTGTGGCTCCACTTATATGAGGTCCCTAGAGTAGTCAAAATCATAGAGACAGAGAGTAGAATGGTGATTGCCAGCGACTGGAGGGAGGGGGGAATGGGGAGTTAGTGTCTAAAGGGCATAGAATTTCAATTTTACATGATGAAAAGAGTTATGGAGATGGATGGTGGTAATGGTTGCACAATATTATAAATGTATTTAATATCACTGAGATGTACACTTAAAAATGGTTAAGATGGTAAATTTTATGTTACATGTATTTTACCACAATAAAAATATTTGGAAAAATCCCACTTTAGTACAGAGGTTTATTGGAACAAGCTGCATGCTTTGCTGCTGCAGCTGGTCACCAGTTCATAATCAAAATTCATCATCCGTCGTCTCCAGCACCCGTGCAAGATTTCCTGCATGCTTGGCCGACACTGCAGCAGTCCACGTTGCTTGCCTGCTGGGGTGACCCCAGCCCTCATCCCTGAGGGATCTGAGCCTTTAATTGCTTTGCCTTTGTCAGGCCATGATTGCCACCTGTGCACCGTATCACCAGGCATCGATGCCCCAGTGAAACCTCAAGTTCCAGACACACTCCCCACCTGCCCCACTTTGTGTGGAACCCAGCTTCCTCACAATAATCAATGATTTCCCCCATCAGCGTGATAACTCCTTCCTTTGCCTGCTATTCCACTAGCTTGAGAAACCCAAAGTGACAGATGACATTTATAGATGCAGGTTCAGTGGAACTTATAGTGGGTTTGCTAGTGAAAATATCTCCCCAAACCCTGGGAACAGGGCCCCAGGTCTGGTGCAGCACAAATTCCACTACAGTCACTGGGAATGTGAGAGGGATTGATCCTTGGTTCCTGAATGTCTGAATTCTAGCTATCGTGGTACAGCATGTCAGTTGTTGGTTCAATGCGTGTACACTCATGTGCTGCATAATGATGTTTTTGTCAACGATGGAGAGCGTATACAGTAGTGGTCCCATAAGATTAGTACCATATAGCATAGGTGTGTGGTAGGCCATACCATCTAGGTTTGTGTGAGTACATTCTGTGTTGTTCACACAATGACAAAATCTCCTAAAGAAGCACTTAGAACATATCCCAGTCATTAAGCAATGCATGACTGTACCACGTTATGGAGGACAGCTTGGTATCAATCATATTTTTTATTTTCTGTATTTTATGAATGTTTGACATCTTAGGGCCTTGCTAATCTTAGAGAGACTGCCCCTCCCAGGACTAGCTAATTCCTAGAGATAGTAAATGGTTTGCCTTTGAGCACACTGTTGCTATGCAAACCAACCAATCCACAGCCTGTGCTCTGAACCACCCCCTCTGTCTGGCTTTTACACTCCACAAGCCCTAATCCTCCCAGGACCAGGCATCAGGCAAGTAGGGGTGGCCCTGACACCCCAGACCCCTCTAAAATTATTTAAACTAGACAATCTCAAACCTAGTCAGCCCATTCCCCCTGCCTCACCCTGTGCTTCTCTTGAAAACCACAATAAGGCCTTTTGCCCACGTTTCCCCTGTTCTTTCTGCCTCCCGACCAACCCAGGTGCTTCTCCATGTGGCCCTGCATGGTGTGCCATGCTTCCTGTTTCTAAAAACTTCTTCCTTCATGGCAGTCTTCTCCTGCTCTGTTGGCCTCACCATACCTGATTAAAACAAATCTTGAAAAATTTTAACACAAGCTGCCAATCCCACAAGACATCATCCTTGAACTGGCACTTTACTGGAGCCTTAAATAGGCAATTCCAATGATCAACTAGGCTGGCTGCTTCCAGGTGATGTGGTAGTTGGTAGGAACAATGGGTCCCATTGTCATGTGTCCGTTCTACTGTAAAAGAGGCCTCTTGGTCCAAGGCAAGGTTGTGCAGGTTCCAGGTTGGGAAATCGGTCACTGTACAAGCCTATGTGTGGTGCTGGCATGCCGGCAAAGATGGCAAACACATATCTGGAGTAGATGGATGCCTGCCTTCTCTTGCCCTTGGACATCGGAGCTCCTGGTTCTCAGGCTGTTGGACTTGGACTGAATTATACCACTGGCTGCCCTGGGTCTCCAGCTTGCAGATGGCAGATTGTGGGACTTCTCAGCCTCCATAGCCACATGAGCCAATTTCTATAATAAATCTCCTCCTATCTATATCTAGATATCCTATTGCTTCTCTTTCCCTGGAGAACCCTGACTGCTTCCACTGATTGTCCTTCCCCTTGAGAATTATTGAAATTTTCCTGGTTCTTTGTATATTGAGTAACTTTGGATTTTATCCCAGAATTTTGAAATTCTGGGTCCTATTAAAATATTCTGATAAACGTTGATTTTTTTAAAAGAAGAAAATCATTGTGACTAGGTTCAGACCCCAAGTCAAGATCCTCCTTCTTTGAGCTGTGATTCCAATGCAAGTTACATTTTTAAACCCTTTGCAGTGTTATTCTGGTCCATCTCATGGTGCACTACCCAGAGGCCAGTTTGAGAGCTTGACAGTGGTCCACACTAGAGGTTGGCAACTACAGTCCACAAGCCCAATCCAGACTGTGCATTGTTTTTGTAATGGCCCCATGCAATAAAACTGATTTTTATATTTGTAACACGTTGTAAAAAGAAAAAAGAAAAAATATGTGACAGAGAACATATGTTACCCACAAAGCCTAAAATACTTGCTGCCTGGCCCTTCACAGAGAATTTTCTGACCTCAGTTCTCAAAGCCGTTGCTACACTGTTTCGGGTCAGTTCTATGCACGCACAACTCAAGACTTACTACTTCTTTTCACACATTTAAAGAATCCTTTCTGCCAGCTCCCACCTCTCCCAGACTTCCCCCACAATCTCCATCTCTCCAATCTTCTTTTTCTAGGGTTAGTCTCTCTGTGCTGTCACGCATGTCCTACAACTGGGTCCATCTCAGGGAGACATGGCAAGAGAAAAAAGAGAAAAATACGGATTCCCCACCGGCTTCAACTCACAGGAGCCACTTGCCCAGTGTCCCAGATGAGAGAGGAATTTTTCTCTCAGAGTTTATGTGCATGTGGGACTGCTACCACCCCAGGACCGCAGATTCATGCCTGGGGCTTGCCTCGGGACGGGGACAGTTAAAAGTGAAAGAAAAGTCAGGATTTCCCACCATGTTCTCTGTCCCACAAAATACCTCATTCCTCCTGGTTCTCTGGCCAAAAAGACAGGGTTTTTCTTAAAGCTTATTCTGTTTCCATCCACTTCACAGTTCCAGGATTTGGTCTGCGCTCTAGTTTAACCCAGGAGTTGTGGAGGAAAACAGGCAAACCACAGAACTCACAGCTATTTCCGTCATTTTTTTAGCTAATTGGGCAGAAACTTCAGTGGCTAAACACAACGAAGAACACAGACTTTGCAGAATTAGTCCAGGAAAGCCACTAAAGAAACCAACAGGAGCAGTAGCAGCAACAACAATGAATAACAGTAATAACAAACTCTTGAGAAGTGGGTTAGGGGGTGAGGAATCTGATTTCCAGACTTGCCACATTATATTATTTCAAATATCCAGTTTTCAATGAAATTTTATGAAACATGCAAAGAAACAAGAAGGTATGGCCCATTTACAGGAAGCTGTTCCTGAGGAAGTCCAAACACTGGACTTACTGGACAAAGACTTTAAATACACTGTTATAAATATGTACAAAGAACTAAAGGAGGGGCAAGCCTGGTGGTGTAGTGGTTAAGTTCACATGCTCCGCTTTGGTGGCACGGGGTTTGCAGGTTCGGATCCCAGGCATGGACCTACGTACTGCTTATCAAGCCATACTGTGGCAGGGGTCCCACATACAAAGTAGAGGAAGGTGAGCACAAATGTTAGTCCAGAGCAAATCTTCCTCAGCAAAAAGAGGAAGATTGGCAGCAGATGTTAGCTCAGGGCTAATATTCCTTACCAAAAAAACAAATGAATAAATAAATAATTTAAAAAAAAAAGATTTCTTCGGGCAGACCTGGTGATGTAGTGGTTAAGATCACATGCTCTGCTTCAGCGGCCTGGGGTTCACAGCTTCGGATTCTGGGCGAGGACCTATGCACTGCTTGTCAAGCCACGCTGTGGCAGGTGTCCCACATATAAAGTAGAGGAAGATGGTCACGGATGTTAGCCCAGGGCCAATCTTCCTCAGCAAAAAGGGGAAGATTGGCAACAGATGTCAGCTAAGGGCTAATCATCTTCACACATGAAAAAAAAAGAACTAAAGGAAACTGTGTCTAAAGAATTAAAGGAACAACACTAGTAACCAACTGAACCTAAACAGACATCTACAGAGGACTCCATCCAACATCAGAATGCATATTCTTCTCAAGTGCACATGGGACATTCTGCAGTATATACCACATGTTAGGCAATAAAGCAAGACTCAATAGATTTAAAAGGATTGAAGTCATGCAGTGTATGTTCTCTGGTCTCCACAAAATGAAATTAGAAGTCAATAACTAAAGGAGATTTGGAGTATTCACAAATATGTTGAAATTAAACAACAGATTCCTAAATAATTAATGGGTCAAAGAAGAAATCACAAGGAAATTAGAAAATACTTTGAGATAAATAAAAGTAAAAACACAGCATACCCAAACTTGTGGGATGCAGCTAAAGCAGTGCTTAGCGGGAGCTTTACAGCTGTAATTACCTGTATTAAAAAAGAATAAAGATATCAAATTAATAACCTAAATTTCTACCTTAAGGAAATCAGAAAAGAAGAGTAAACTAAACCCAACACAAGCTGAAGAAAAGAAATAATGAAGATTAGAATGGAATAAATGAAATAGAGAATAGAAACACAATAGAGAAAAAACAAAACACAAAAGTTGGTTTTTGGAAAAGATCAACAAATTTAACAAACCATTAGGTAGAGTGACCAAGAAAAAAAGAGAGACGACTCAAATTACTAAAATCAGGAATGAAAGTGGGGACATTACTACTGACTTTACAAAAATAAAGATTATAAGAGAATACCAGGGACAATTGTATGCCAAAAAATTATATAACCTAGATGAAATGGACAAATTCCTAACAAGACATAAACTACCAAAACTGACTCAAGAAGAAATAGATCATCTGAATAGACCTATAACAAGTAAAGGGATTGAATTGGTAATCAAAAACCTTCCCACAAAGAAAAGCCCAGGCCCACATGGCCTCACTGGTGAATTCTACCAAAAATTTAAGGGAGAATTAACTCCTAATCTTCACAAAATTTCCAGAAAATATAGGAGAATGGAATACTTCCCAACTCATTCTATGAGACCAGAGTTACTCTGATAACAAAACTAGACAAAGACATCACCAGAAAAGACCAGTATCATTTATGAACGTAGACAAAAATCCTCCACAAAATACTGGAAAATCAAATCCAGCAACATATAAAAGGATTATATACCATCACCATGTGGGATTTATCCCAAGAATGCAAGGTTGGTTTAACATCTGAAAATCAATCAATGTAATACAACATATTAATAGAATAAAGGATAAAACACATATGACCATCTCAATAGATGCGTAAAAACCATTTGACAAAATCCAACTCTGTATTAAAATAAAAATACTCAACAAACCACGAATATAAGGGAACCTCTTTAATCTGATAAAGGGCACCTATAAAAACCCCACAGTTAATATCATACTTAATGGAGAAAGACTGAATGCTTTCCCAAAGATCAGGAACAAGACATGGATGCCTGCTCTACCACTTATATTCAACCTTGTACTGGAGGTTCTACCCAGAGTAATTAGACAATGATAATAAATAAAGGCACCCAGATTGGAAAGAAAGAAGTAGAACTATTTCTATTCACAGATGATATGACAAAATCCTAAGGAATACACACACACACACACACACACACACACACACACGCAAACTTATTAGACTAACAATAGGTTCAGCAAGGTTTCAGAATACAAGATCAGCATAAAAAATCAATTTTACTTCTGTACACTAGCAATGAACAATTTGAAAATGAAGTTAAAAACAAGTGCATTTACAATAGCACTAAAAAAGAGAAAATACTTGGGAATACTTAGAAAATACTTGGGAATGACTTTAACAAAAGAAATGTGAGACGTACAGTGAAAACTACAAAACATTGCTGAAAGAAATGAAAGAAGAAATAAATGGAAAGACATCTCATGCTCATGGATTGAAAGAGTTAATATTGTTAAGATAACAATACTCTACAAATTGATCGATTTGTGTCAAAATTCCATTTGGCGCTTTTTTTTTTTTGCAGAAATTGACAAGCTGATCCTGAAATTCATATGAAAAGTCAAGGAACTCAGAATAGTCAAAACAATCTTGGAAAAGAAGAACAAAGTTAGAGGGCGCATTCTTTCTCATTTCAAAACTTACTATTAAGATGTCATATTTAAAACAGTGTGAACCTGGCATAATGACAGAGATGGATCAATGAAATGGAATTGAAAGTCCAAATATAAACTTATGGTCAGTTGATTTTCAATAAGGGTGTCAAGTCCATTCCGTGGGGAAACAATAGTCTTGTCAACAAACGGTGCTGGGACAGTTGGATATCCACATGCAAAGAAATGAAGTACACCCTGTATTAGTTTCCTTTGGCTGCCATAACAAATTACCATGAACGGGGTCGCTTAAAACAAAAGAAATTTGTTGTCACATAGTTCTGGAGGCAAGAAGTCCAAAATCAAAGTGTCATGGCAGGGCCATGCTCTTTCTGAAGACTCAAGAAGGATGTTTCCTTGCCTTTTTCTAGCTTCTGGCGGTTGCTGGCAATCCTTGGCTTGTAGATGTATCACTCCAATTTCTGCCTCTGTCATTGTCACAGGTGTTCAATGAGGGTTCTCCCTGTGTGTCTTTGTGCCCCTGTGTCTTCATATGGTATTCTTATAAAGACATCAGTCATTGGATTTAGGTCCCACCCTAATCCAGTATGACCTCACCTTATCTTGATTACATCTGCAAAAATTCTATTTCCAAATAAAGTCACATTCACAGATATTAGGAGTTAGGAATTCAACATATCTTTTGAGGGGACACAATTCAACCCACAACAGACCCCTACCTCTCACCATATAAAAAAATTAACTCAAGATGGATTATAAACCTAAATATAAACCTAAATATAACCTAAATATAAATTTAGCTCTAAATATAAGAGCTAAACCTATAAAAATGTTAGAAGAAAACATAGGTATAAGTCTTTGTGACCCTGGATTAGGCAATGGTTTCTTTGGTATGATGCCTCAAGCAAAAGCAACAACCAAAAAATAGATAAATTGGACTTCCTCAAAATTAAAAGTTGTTCATCAAAAGATACGATTAGGCCATCCTGGTGGCATAGTGGTTAGGTTCACGTGCTCCACCTCAGTGGCCTGGAGTTTGCAGGTTCAGATCCCAGGTGTGGCCCTACGTGCCACTCATCAAGCCATGCTGTGGCAGCATCCCACATGCAAAATAGAGGAAAATTGGCACAGATATTAGCTCAGGGACAATCTTCCTCACCAAAAAAAAAAAAAAAAAAAGGAAAAAGATACTATCAAAGAGTGAAAAGACAGGCTGCAGAATGGGAGAAAATATTTGCAAATCATATATCTGATTAGGGAGTAGTATCCAGAATATATAAAGAACTCTTATAACTCAACAGTAAAAATGTAAACATCCCAATTAAAAATGGGTGAAGGATTCCAATAGGCATATCTTCATAAATATACAATGGCCAATAAGCAATGAAAAGATGCTCATTATCATTAGCTATTGGAGAAACACAATGAGCTGCCACTTCACATCTACTAGAATGGCTATAATAAAAAAGACAGACAATAACAAGTATTGATGAGGATGCAGAGAAATTGGAATCCTCCTATATTGTTGGTGGGATTGTAAAATGGTGCAGCCACTTTGGAAAATAATTTGGCAGTTTCTCTAAAAGTTAAACAGAGTTACCGTATGACCCCACAATTCCTCTCCTAGATCTGCATCCAAGAGAATTGAAAACGTGTCAACACAAAAATGTACTTGTGCAAAAAACGTACTTGTACAAAAATGTACATAGTACATTGTACATAGTAGCATTATTCATGATAGCCAAAAAGTGGAAACAACTCAAATGTCCATCAATTGATGAATGAATTTAAAAAATCTGGTATATCTATATAGTGGAATATTCATTCAACTATAAAAATGAATGAAGTACTGATACATACTATGACGTGGATAATCTTTAAAACATGCTAAATGAAAGAAGCCAGACACAAAAGGACGTACATTGTATGATTCCATTTATATGAAATGTCCAGAATAGACAAATCCATACAGACAGAAAACAGATTAGTGGCTTCCAGGGGCTGAGGGGAGAGGATAATGGGAGAATAACTCTAATGGTATAGGTTTTGGGGAAGAGTGATGAAAATGTTTTACAATTAGATAGTGAATTAGAAGATTGCACAACTCTGAATATACTAAAAACCACTGAATTGGAGCTTTAAAGGGTTGGATTTTACGGTATGTGAATTACATCTCAATAAAGCTGTTATTGAAAAAGACAAACAGGCAGGAGCCAGCTTTGGGCCACGGGCAGTAGTTTGCTGACCCTCACATCAGTGTTGTCTAGGGCCTCCAGT